TGGCTTTGACATAGTCCCTATTTTAAATAATTATTAATAACTCAGGGTGTAGTATCTAAAATATTTCAGTCATCATCTTTCTTAATATTCCAAGGTATTTTTTAAAAGAATGTCAGAGTACTTTAGATACAGAAGTTGAACTCCTAAAGGTAATATGAAGTAAATACTTTACAGTAGTTAGACTTCATTTACAGAAACTTACTCCTACAATTTCTTAGGTTTAGAAACATTTTTTTCATCACATATGTGTGTGTGTGTGTGTGTGTGTGTGTGTGTATGCATTACCACATATTGTGCCTACGTGCCACTCTTTCCATTGATTTTATATCCACTGATTTTATTAGTCACATTAGTCCCTGGAAGCCTTAAGTAGACTGATTAAGTTCCAAGAAAAAAAAAAATACAGGATTTTACTTATATACAATGGTAAAACCTAAAGTATCCCCAAGCAATTTTTGTGTATGTTCGAGAAGATGGAAAATCTTATCATTAGTTGATAGGTAATGATGATGTTTTATGACATCGCAGAACTTACTTTCCCCTTATCCCACAGCAAGGGAGTAATCTCACTAGATTTTTAAAATTCACTAAGTGCATTTAGGAATTTCAGGTGAACTACAAAAAGTATGATCTGAGACTTCCACTCAAGATGGTGGGGTAGGCAGACATGGTTCACCTCTTTGCACAATCACATAAAAATTACAACTAAATATAGAACAGCCATCACTCAGAATCATCAGAAATCAAGTTGAATGGAAGTCTGACAGCTATGGAATTAAAGAAACCACATCTATCCAGACTGGTAAGAGGGGTGCAGACATAGAATTAGCTGGTCCCTCACCTATGTGTGGTGGATAAAAATTTGAGAGGGATACCTAGGGAGGTAGGAGTCCTAGCTCCACACCAGGCCCCTCCAGGGTCAGGAAGCTAAGTCCTCAAAACTTCTGGCTGCAAAAAACAACGGGGATTGATTCGGTGGAAGAAACTGCTTGAGCACCAGGCAGTTCCTCTTAAAGAACCCACACACAGACTCACCTGCTTAGAATCACTCCCTCAGAGCTCCAGCACTGGAGTAACAGCTTGAGAGGCACCAGTGGTATACAAGGAGAAACTGAAGTGTCTGGCATCAGGGTGAGAAGAAGCCATTGTACCTTTCGTAAATGCTCCCCTGACAGAGCTGGCAAGCTGGTACCATATCTGAGACTCTATCAACCTGGCTAACACTGTTTGATCCATCTTGGAGATCCCCAGAGACTTCATCCTACATAACTTAGGGGGCTCGCCCAAGCTGCGTTTCCATATGAATGGCTGGTCTTGGCCCACACTTCACAATTTTCTAAATCCTATGAAACAAGCAACAGCTGGCCTCAGTGAGCCCCAGGCCCAGCACTAGCAGCAGCCAGCTGAGATTCACCTGAGAATCTCCAAGCCCAGAACTGGTAGCAACTTTCTCAGATGGCTTTATAACTCAGGCAGGGTGGCCCTGGGGAAAAACACAGGTGGGGACTGACATTGCCTGCACCACCTGGGAAACCCCAGGAACAGCACACACAGTAGGCAGCTACAGATCATGTTGAAGTACTACCACCCCGCCCATGCACAGCTGATCCTTCACAGAGGGCAGAGTTTGGTGGTAAGCAGTCACAGACAATCCTTGCACTGACTGGCCTAGGTATAAGTCCCAGGTGATTAATAACTCAGTGATCTGCAAACAGTAACCAAGCCTCAACTACAAGAGGAGGGTATACTCAGCCCACATGAAGGGCAGACCTTGAATACCCAACTTCAGCGATAGGGGAGGCTGTGCCACTAGACCCTACAGGACACCCACTACGTTGTGCCATACTACCAAAACATGGAGTCAAAGTAGCTCTACTTAATACATAGAAACAAACACAAGGAGGCTGCCAAAATGAGCAGACAAAGAAATACAGCAAAAATGAAAGAACAGATCAAAACTCCAGAAAAAGAGCTAAACGAAATGGAGATAAGCAATCTATCAGACACAGAGTTCAAAAAGCTGGTTATAAGGATGCTCAAGGAACTTAGTGAGGATCTTAGCAGCATAAAAAAGATCCAGTCAGAAACGAAGGATACACTAATTGAAATAAAGAACAATTTACAGAGAAACAACAGTAGAGTGCATGAAACGAATAATCAAATCAATGATATGGAACATAAGGAAGCAGAGAACAAGAAGAAGAAAAAAGAATACAAAAAAAATGAGGATAGTATAAGAAGCCTCTGGAACAACAACATTCACATCATAGGGGTGTCAGAAGGAGTAGACAAAGATCAAGAAATTGTAAATCTATTTGAAAAAAACAGTGAAAGAAAACTTCCCTAATTTGGTGAAGGAAATAGACATGCAAGACCAGGAAGCACAGAGAGTCCCAAACAGATGGATACAAAAAGGCCCACCCCAAGATACATCATAATTAAAATGCTAAAGATTAAAGATAAAGACAGAATCTTAAAAGCAGCAATTGAAAAAAATGTTAGTTCCCTGCAGGGGAGTTCCCATAAGACTGTTAGCTGATTTCTCCAAAGAAACTTTGCAGGCTAGATGGGATTGGCAAGAAATATTCAAACTCATGAAAAGCAGGGATCTATAGTCAAGATTTCTCTACCCAGCAAAGTTATCAGTTAGGATCGAAGGGCAGATAATGAGTCCCCCAGACTAGAAAAAACTAAAGGAGTTCATCATCACCAAACCATTATTATATGAAATGTTAAAGGGACTTATTTAAGAAAAAGAAGATCAAAACTATAAACAACAAAATGGCAAAAAAATACTAATCTATCAACAATTGAATCTAAAAACAAACTAAGTAAACAAGAAGAACAGAGGCAGAATCATGCATACAGAGAGTGTTTTGATGGTTGCCAGATGGGAGGGGGGGAATGGGTGAAGACATGAGGGTATTTAGAAATACAAATAGGTAGTTGCATAATAGCCATGGGGATGTAAAGCACAGCATAGGAAATGGAGTAGCCGAAGAACTTATATGTATGCTCTTTGTCCATTGAGTATGATGTCGGCCTATGAACATGAGTAACGGTGGGGGGATCGCCTGAGGGAGGTGGGGCATGCTGTGTTGAGGAAGGTCAAGGGGGGAAAAAATCAGGACAACTGTAATGGCAATCAATAAAATATAATTTAAAAATATGATTTTAAAATCCATGCCTATATCATAGAAGATTACCTCTTGAAAATAATTTTTATTTAAATTAAAAAAATAAATTGCTGCCCCTCAATAAACATTTATATATTACTTACATTCTAAGAATATATAAGTAGGACAAGTAAAACACCATGGAATAATACTGTTGAATAAAGTAGCATGCTATTGAATAATTTTTCAAAAATTTTATTTAAATTATGTATTACATAATCACTGAGGTTTGTAGGGCATCAAATGCTCTCCCTTACATTTTGATCCAACTTTATTTTCTTGCCTCCTTCCTGAAACATTTATCCATATGCTCTATATACCCACATTATATGCTCTATACCTGTGTCAGTTTTGCAAAATACAATTACCAGTTGCTTTTCAGTTCCTACTTACAATCCCTCACAAGGCCCAGAAGTTCCTGCCAGGTACATAGGTGCTAGGACTTGCCTCTATATTCTTATAATAGATTACCTTATATAATCAGGAAGTTTTAAAGGACTTATAAAAAACAGAAGTATATTTGACTAAGATAATTAATTAATTAATATAGTCTAAGCTGTCCTTTTTGGGCCAGTGTTTTTGGAGCTAATAAGTATTATCCTTATATTTCAAAGACTCTTATTCTAGTAGAGCCAGTAAGAAGGAAAGAGACATGAACCCATAGATGTGTAGTAGGAAATAAATAGTAGTTGCATACTTCTAAACACAATGTGATTTTCATATTGTCCTTATGACACATTCCAGTTACAATAAAAACCTATGAGGTGCTAGTTTTATGGTAGAAGTGTTTCTGTGAAGATGGTAATAGTTTTTGTGTAGTCAGCAGTACATGATCAGTGACCTTTCACCAAGACTATATGTGCATTAATCAGATCTCTTTTCTTTACAACTGAAGAGATCCCAATCAAGCATCTTTAATGACAATGGGTAAAGTAATTGATTGATGTGACCCAGAAATCTAGAAATAGCCTCCAGTATGGATGGACTCATGGGTTCCAGTAATGTCCTTTGATCTTTCATTCTATCTCTCTTCCCTGGGTTCTCTCTCATTGTACAAAGCAGCCACAACAGTCACATGATTCTATTTTAACAATCTAAGCAGAAAGATTTACTTTCTTTCTACTTTTGTTTATAGATAGCTCCAGGAGAAAAATAACAGTGAAGTACTTGATTACCCTACACCAGCCATTTTGAACCCCTTTCATCTCATGGCACACAAAAACTAATTACTAAAATTCCGCCGCACACCATAAATATATTTTAATTTTTGCTGATCTGAAAAAAAAAAACAGGTATAATTTTGATTCATTCGTACAGGACGATTATTATCGTGTCGGCTATTGTCATTTTTTTTTTTAATTTGACAATCTAAGGGAAAAGATGTCAGTGCCCCTGACTAATTAGTCAGATGCATGTTTTAAAAATTCTTGTGGCACATCAGTGTGCCTTCCATGGCACACCTGTTAAAAATCACTGCCTTAGAAGAAATCTATATCCATTTCTAATTAGCTGCTATTGTCAGGACCAGGACTTGGACAAGATTATTCAGGAAAGAGAAACTGTTAACAAATTATGAGAAAGGATTTCTGAGAGAAAGAAAAAGATAAGCCCAAAGCTACAAAGTTTCACCCTATTCCCTTTCCACTGCTATTTTGGTTAATTTTTTAAATTATTCCCCCAGTATGTTTATATACTTGGTTTTGGAGTCAGATACTCCCCCATCCCCCAATACACATAGATTGTCTCTCACCCATTCTTAAAGAGCCATCATCCACAGAGAAAACAAAAGAAAAATACAATATTAAATCAAATATAAGCTCTTACCTTCTCTACAAATACAATAATGGTTTCCATCTACCAAAGTCAGGCATGTTGAGTTGTGTCTGCAAGGGTCAGTGAGTGGATCACAAGGGTTATAGTGTTGATGGCAAAATTTTCCTGTATAAAAGGGGGAACACAGGCATACAAATTGCCCAGGGATGGTAGATTTGTGACAAAGAGCTCCGTTCATGCATAGGTCAGAGTCACATTCATTTATTTCTTCACTACACTTTTGTCCAGTCCATCCAGATGTACATTCACAGCTGAAATAAAATTTTAAGAAATATGAACAGTGCTGTTTCAAATTTATCCTTTGCACTTTCAATGTAATTACTACCTTGAGTTAATATATGGCATTTTTATTTATGACATGACCAATAAATTATGTTTTTTAAAAATATTGTTTACCTAATCTATTGAGACAATTTAATGTGTATTACTACAAAACTGCCTACATTGGCTGAAATACAATTTAAGAAGCATTTGGTAAATCTCTAACATATATAGGTCTCTGAGACATATTAGAGAACACCAGCGCTACCAATTTCAATTTTAGAAACTATTGAATTTCATTACCAATTCAGAAAATTTTCTCAATTATTTCTTTCATGTAAAATAGGTTTTACAAATGAGATCACTGTTTGTAAGTCTTAGGTAATATTTCATTTGATGTTTTAGGAGCATGTGATCCTTAGAATGACCAGAATATTTATAATAGGGTGTTCCTTTATGTTAAGCATCTTTGTTTCCATTTTTGTATGCTTTAATAACATCTTTCCTATTAATATATGAATAATGTGGAAAATTTGAAGAGAAAACAAACAAAGAAAAAGTAAGGCATTTGGACCTTGTCTGTATATCACAGACTTTAGCTCAGTTTAACCCTCAACTGTCTAGTATCTGTCATTCTCTTGGGAATTTTTGACTTCAAATACCATTTTAGCCAAACATCTTCTGTCAAACTAGGCTACTACTGAGTCCTGCTACTAAGAATAGGAGAATTATGACAACTGACACAGGAAAAGTGGTTTTCCACATAAGTATTATTCAAATAAGGAAAATAGACAGTAATGAAACCTGCCCATATGGGTTAAACGTGAGGATTGTTGATCAGCTGTCTGAGTGGAAGTCACCAAAAAACTGTGGACAGATTCAGAACTCCTGTCAGTCTGTGGCCAAGGAAGAGCTCCAAATCTTGAGTAAATATATTACTTGACAAGGGACAAATCAAGAGACAAGGCATAGAGGACATTAGAAGTATTATTCTCAGAAAAGAGTTATTTTACTAATAGATTAGATAGTTAAGATAACCTGAAAAGAATATTATATTGCTGAAACATTTAACTTGCTTCATGACATGTGATATTTTGTTAAAAAAGAAAAAAGAAGAAAAGGGGGGAGGGAGAGGGAAGGAGGCAGGGAGAAAAAGGAAGGAAGGAAGGAAGGAAGGAAGAAGGAAGGAAGGAAGGAAGGAAGTTAGTTAATTTTCAGTGTCAAAGTCCCAGGAGTATCAATTCCATTCTGCTTTAATAAACACAGAGGATACCAATGTAATGAGTGGAGATATTTGAATGATTAACATACACTGGTACTTGAAATTAATTCTAAGTACATATGGTACCCATTGAAATTAAAACTAAAATAAATAGGGGGCATGATGGCTTTAAGCATGATTGACTAATGATGCATTTACTAGTTCCATAATGCTGAGTCCAATGTAAAAAAAAATGTAGATTTTGCAGCTCATTTTTTTTAATTTGCTAGTTTGCAGACATCGATTACTACCATGCAAATTGAATATTTCTTTGTAAAGCATGTTTGCTAAAGACAATCTTTGCAAGTGAAATAAGTTATACCTTTGAAATATAGAAATTATTCTATGAATATACTATTTCTTTAAGGAATGAATAAAAATCCTTCACATTTTTATTTTTTTTTCTAAAATATAATCAGACTATTTTGGTGTCTATTCATCCTAGTTTGCCTAGCTAGACCTGATTTAGGCACGTCTTTCCAAAATAATTATTTATAGGGTAGCTTTTCACTTAAAAAAAGTTTTTATGCTGTAACTCTCTTCGTCTTTGATTATCTCCCATATTCCTAAGTGAAACTGCATATTTTCAAAAAAAGATGATATCACTTTTACTAATCCTGCATATGATTTCACCTTGCTCTAAAATTTTCTTGCCACAACCTTTAGGAAATCATAATGTATACTATCTTATACTGTAAATATTTTCATGGTTCATTTCCACTATTAAGCTTTTGGCTCCTCGATGTGTAAAAATTTTCCAATTTTTTTATTCTCATGTACATAATATGCATATATTGAAAATATAGATATTGATTAATATATGATTTTAGTTGGATTATATAGACTTATTGAAATCTTTCTTTTGAAAAATTGAGGACCAGGTAGCTTAATAAAATTGGTAATCTCAGAAAAATGTAAAAATTAAATGTGATAATGAATAAAAAGTATATGTAGTTTCTGACATCATAAATGCATAGCCATCTATAGTGGTTACTAGGTGCTATCAAAGAATTTTAAAAACATTTGTTACCGTACTAATGCCTCAATAAAATATACATCTCAAGAATGGATATTGTTTCAATTTCTAATAGTACTTTTCATTTATTTGTCAAGTCATCATATATTAAAACTGTCGAGTAGATTATCCAATTTGATATTTCTAATAAAGCATTGAAAAAAGAAGAGATGTTCATATTCTTTACAGGAGGGAGAGCTGAAAGTGCCAAACCTAAAAGTGATTTATCCAATTGTCACATGGTTAGTAAACTCAAGAACTGAAACCCAGACATCTCCCTCCCATTTTCTTCCCTTCTTTTATGTTTCTTTAAAATATTTTGTGGAAATCCATTGTACAACTGTTCAACATTTTGTGAAATAATGTTATAATTAGGAATAATAAAATCCCAATAGCATAGCTTCAGTACATTTATTTTATTTGGAGTCACTTTACTTCTAAGGAGTGTTGCACAAATATTTATGTTTTTCTTTTTCTCACATTCTTTCATGAGTATGTTATTTCAACCAGACTACTTTAAAAGAATTCCTTGTTAATAACTGACAATACTTGATTATTTAGCATATGTACTAAAGGTTTGCTTTATCTTCCCAAATAACAGGTGGCCTGAGATTTCATGTGGTGTCCTTACTAGGATCAAATCCTCAAGAAGGCATCTGGCCATATGTCAATAGGACTAATAATGCCAAGATGAGGCCTGTAGAGATGAATGGATATTTTGTATTAAATAAAGTTCCAAGGAACAAAGTCACTACTAGTAACTAATAATTAGACCTACACATTTATATATTTGAATCTGACTTTGTACATGTCAGAGAAACTAGTCTTTGATGGATGGAAAAACATATTTTATATGAGAACTTCAATCTCTTTTTTAGTTTATACCATCCAGGATTGAGTGTGTCCTAGCAGGATTTTCCAAACTCAAGCAGAATCTTTATGTATTAAAAGGAAAAAAAGAAAAAAACACAACTATGACTTTTAAAGAATGCAATTACCAGTAGTAAACATTTGAAAAACAATGTACTGTGTGCTTAAAATACATTTTAATTTGCTATCTTGCCCAGTGAGAGAACCAAAAAGTCATTGGCATAAAATACATTGAATATCTTATAAATAAGAACAATTTAATTTTTTTAAGCGTTGCTTTAAAATACCGAAGCTAATAATTAAAAATAATGTAGACAACATTGTTATAAAATAAGGGGAAAAATAAAATTCATTAAAAATTCATTATATTAAAAAATTAGTAGATTCCAATTTCTATTAACCATTCTTATGTTTACTTTATTATAAATATTGATATGCAATAACTAAATATTATTCAGCAATAGTTATCTATGTTTGAACCTGATTTGTATAAGTATACCAGGTTTGTTGGCTACAAATATAAATGCAAGTCTAATAGTGTACATATCTTTAAAGATCTCTTCCTATAAAAATTAGATCACATATTTTTTGTTGCAGCCATTACTTGTATGCAAAATAAAATTCCAACCAAAACCAGGAGACAAAAAAGAAATAAGACAGTAAATCATAAAACATATTACATATTTAATATCTTAAAAATTAACATCACAGGAAATCGAAAAAGTAAAAAATATGGGTCACTCAACTATGTCATTCATTCTTTACGTTATTGTTTTATTCATTATAAAAATATATTATAAGTTTTCCAGCCACAGATTCCCAATAGAAGATAGAAAATGAAGTTTCAATCAGGAGTTGGTTGAAACCATGGATATAAAGGGCTGACTCCAGTTACGTTTTGGGGGAGACAAAAGTTAGATACCAATTTTTAACCCTTTAGTTGGTGAAACACTCACATCATTTTGTTTGTTTGTTTGTTTGTTTTTGGCTTAGGAATTAGAACTATACAGAATGAAATTTGAAAGACACAGTCTGACTCCCTACTAAATCCCACCCTCCAACTAGTACCATAAACTAAAGCACCCTACGTTAAAAGCAGAAATTGGTTCCACCTTTGAGGACAACAAGAAGGGCTGCTATAATTTTATGGCAAGCCCCAGCTGATAAATTATAACAGAGACTGCTAGGGTTAGAGCAAGGCCAGAGAGATTCTAGCTGATGGTAAAGGGAATGTGAAGTGAGTAGTAGGGAGGAAGATGAAGCTTATTAGTTATGGTCAGTGGGCCAGCTGAAGGTGTAGGTGCTATAATTCATTGTATTAATCTTTTTCTCATAATGTACTGGAAGAAAAGAGGATAACCAGCATTCTAAAGTAACATCTTATTCAACTTACAAGAAGCAAATGAATCTGAGGGTACAAGGTATGGTTTTATTTCTTTGTTCACCTTTAAAGAGGAGTATGATATTAAGAGATATAATTGCTTTATACAAAATATTGCACACTTTTAATGAGTACATCTTGATAAATTTGGACATGTGAATACACCTGTGATATCATCACTGTTATCAAAGTAGTGAACATATTTATGTTCTCCAAAAATTTCCTTGTACATATGTGCATATGTATGGGTGAGTGTATGTGTATGAGTTGTGATTAGAACACTTAACATGAGATATCTCTTAATATATTTCAAAGTGCACAATACTCTAGCATCAGCCAGATGTACTAGTGGATGTATTCAACCTAAGACTGACACCTTAATTTCCCCAATTCCTAGGAATGTTGGTGGCTGATAGCTATGAAAATTGACCTCAGCTGGAAGGAGGCACTTCACTCAGTCATT